TGACTCCACTGCTTCAGACGACTGTGAGCTCTGGACTTGCTAAAAGCTACTGTGGAACAGCCCAGCTAGCATGGTTCTTCCCTGTCCCTATGGGGTCAGGCAGCTACGTGCTTCTGATGAATGCCCCCTTGCCCAGTCTTTGACTGGCTTTTCAGCCTTTTGGGGGACCCTGACAATGGTGCCCCAATGCCAGTTCTAAGCAGTTTCAGAAGAGAATATGTCACCCATGTTCCCTGTTCAGAAAAGGCTGAAATGCTGGGTCAAAAGGAAACTCCCTGGCATAGACACAAGATGGCTTACTATACATGACCATTATCAAGGAGGGATTCTTATGAGCTAACTGTCCAAAACCCATGATTGGGTTCCATTAGGCACATGAGAATGGGGAAATGTGAGACCAAAATGAGCCATCTTAGAATTAAGACCAAAATGATTTCACCCTGAAATTAAGGCCTAAGATTTCTCCTTTTGGGAATAGGCCATTAATTACTAAAACCAGTCAGTTCAGATTCCAGAAACCAGGAAGTGTAAAGGTAGAGAGTCACAAGATAATCACAAGGTAATGCCTGCCGGACTATGGAATGTCCTCTCCCTAGTTGACAGGGCAACTGACCACAGAAATGCCCCCACCTGAGGGCAGACAATGAGAAATGGTGGCAGGCAACTACTCCCTTAGAAGTCATTTCTGGAAGTCCCTAGAAGTGAGCCAATCAGAATTGTACCCGTACTAGACCCCTAAATTATGTAACGTTGTGATTTTTCCCTTTAAAAGCTGAGCTTGCAGATAGGTGGGCACTTCCTTCAGCCTCCACTGTGTTGGATGTATTGGATGAAGTCCCTGCCTAGGCTTGTATTGCTTTTGGATATCCAGAATTATACCTTGCTTTTGCATTCTGGCATGCTCGTCTTTGGAGGTCTCTCTGGGGGTTACAATCTGGGCAAAACATTGAGAGCTCGCAGACTCAGAATGACAACCCAGGAGCTTACATTGGACCAAACTAGGCCCTCTGAATGTAGGTGAAAATTGTGTGACTTTTTCAGATTGTGGGGCCCCTGGCAGTGGGACTAGGATTTATCCCTAGTAAATGAACTGGATTTTTGGAGTCCATTCTGTATATTGGAATACCTTGCTCAGTTGTAAAGCAGAGGGGAGGTGCTTGGTGATTCACCAGACTTCGTTGACTCCCCATGGGAGGCTTTACCCTCTCTGATGAGCAGGAGGAGGGAAGAGAGGGGAACTTTGGTTGGTATGTAAAATGAAAAAAATAAAATAACATAAAGAAAATTATCCTGGAACTTCTGTTCATTGAGACATGATAACTGCTGGCTGTGGCCGTGGCTTTGTGTTGTCACAAAGGCTGACTACAGAAAACCATCTCACTTAATAGTGAAAAAATATCCCATTTAGAAATTATTTGAATGGACATGTCAGCATTGATGTGACAATTTAATGATTAAAATGAAGGGCTGTGTGGAGGGTCTGAGTTCTTGGTCTATAAGCCTGAGGATCTTTTTGAACCCCAGCACCTCCATAAACATGAATATTGGAAAGGCATGGGATCCTCATACAAAGGTAAAAGATAAAGGATGATAAAATATCCTCATAGGTTGTCATTCAGTGATACCCTGTCACAAAAGGGAGACACTCGCACTTGGTCAGACAAGGGGCAGTGCTAACAGCATGGCTTCAGGATATCCCTGCAATGCACCAACTTTCCCCACCACCCTTTGTTGCATTCTTGAGAAGCTAGATGGGAGGGTTCTCCCTGCTCATCAGAACTGGGAGAAGGGAATGTGCCAAACAAGGTGAACATTACCAGCAAGCCCTCAGATGGGGTGGGGCCTTAAAATTCCCCACTTCTTTGACATGCCTGCACTCAGTCCCTCAAGAACTTGGGAGTATGGGCTTGCTTGAAATGGCAGGCATAGCAGCTTAGAGAGGAACGTCTTGTAGGTTGGCAGGTGTCCATGTTTCCAGAATCCTGGACCAGCAACGCAAATTGGCCAAGGTCTGTGTGATTTCTCAGAGAGGCCCTGAGGGAAACAAAAGACCAGAATGCATATGGGGTTTGTGCAGGAGTCCTAAGGTCTCAAAGGCAGGATGAAACCTGGGGTGTGCAGACACCCATGGGAGCAAGGCAAGAGAACCTGATTCTTGCTATTCTATGGTCATGTGGGAGTCTCCTGGAAGAAGTGCCTTATGTTCCTTGCAAAACTCCAGGCCTGTTTTTCCTCCTTTGCAAAGTGACTGGATTATTTTTTGTTATTCCTTTTGAAGAGCCCACCCCACTTATTAAATTTCATGTCGCTGGTATATACCCTTTGGTGTTATGGAACTCTTACTTTTTTTCTCCTGCCCTGCCATTCTGGGCATGAAACTAGTCTTATCCATGCATGTTGGATAAGTATTCCACCATGGCCCACATCCCCATCCAGGAATCAAGTATGCTTCTTGCACAAAGCACAACTCACTAGCTTTGACCTCTCAAGTGTAGCCAGTGACAAGATAGATCAGGTGGGGACTCAGGACTACTGGTTTGACTCCCTTCCTGACAAAAGACCATGAACTTGTGATTTGCTTTCCTTCAGCTCTCTGGAATGACATGTGCTGGATGGGTCCAACATCTCACCAAGAAAGAACTTTTTGGGCCAAGTGCTTGGATGCTGAGATCTCTGTGTGCATGACAGAGACAGCTAATGTCCCTTTACATGGAATGAATGAAATTTCCCACAGGCAGGCCCTCACAGTGACAGGTGGCTTTGGTTATCACACAGGCAGAATTGGGGACATGAAGAATGAGACTTTGATGAGGGGCGTCCATTATGTTTCCTCAGAATTGGTGCCTGGCCCCCAGCCAAATCCTGAAAGCCATGTTACTGTTGAATCCATGAGGAAAAGTTTTGCAGGAATCTTATAGGTCTTAATAATAAAATCAAACCTGAGGCCAGTTGTTGGGGTGAATGCTGGAAGATCAGAGAAGTAGAACAAGCCACAGCTACCTCACCTTGCCAATTCCTCAGGTGATCCTGTTTCCTCAGATTAGATGCCTCTGAGTCCTCATCCAGAATGAATCTCAGCTGAACTGCTTCTCAAAAGCCTGAAATCTTAATCAGCCAAATGCTTCTAGTTCCTGATCTTCACGCATTATATATCTTGCTGTTTTTGCAATCACTCCCTGGGATTAAAGGCTCACTTGTTGGGATTAAAGCATGTGTCACTGTGCCTGGCTGTTTCCAATGTGGCCTTGAATTCACAGAGATCCAGAGGGATTTCTGCCTCTGGAATGCTAGGATTAAAGGTGTGAGTGCCACCAATTTCTAGCCTCTGTATCTAGTGGCTGTTCTGTTCTTTGACCCCAGATAAATTTATTATGGTGCACAATATTTTGGGGAACACAATACCACCACAGACAAGAGACCCCATCACTCTGGTCTTTGGGACATTTGCTGTGGTCCATGCCTTTCTTTATCTCAGCTGTCTTTTCAGTCAGTCTCCAGGAGAAGATCCTTGTTCTTAATTTCCAAAATGGATTCAGGCAAGGGCTGGCTTCAGACAAGAAACCCTAGGTTTTGCTGAAGCAAGAAGCCTGGCTGGGAGACCAGGCTCATGTTCTAGATTTTTGTGTATGCAAGTCACCAGCATCCCCAGCATATCAAGAGTGCAAAATGACAAATCCTTGAACTCCTACCCTCTACATAGCCTTTACTTATGACATCTGATGTGGGGTGTTCCTTTGCTCCATGGTCTTTTCCATCCTCTGATATTGTAGTGTCTCTGGCTTGTATCATCACAAGGGTGGTGACCAAAGGTGATGACAGCTTATGCCATGCCAAGTCAGCCACATGGAATGGACCCAAGGTGAGACTTGATGCTTTGTGCTGTTTTGAGGCCCTCGCCCATTGTAACATTCCAAGGATTTTCTCCAGGTCTTTGTTCACTTCAGGGAATTTGTCTTTCCTCCCCTCCATACTGTTTTTAATTTCCCAGCAGCCTTTTTTATCACATTGAGTATGAATCTTAAGGTGGTAAAGAGCCATTCATAAGCACTGTTTGAAAAGTTAGCCCTAAACACCGTACAAAGAATAGTTTGGAGTGAAGCATTTCTAGACCTCTGGCTTTAGAAAAAGGAGGTACTGAAGTTTCCCTTGTATCTGAGGAGAGGATCCTGGGAAGGGTAACTTA